GGCCTGGCGCGATATGGTTCATGGGGTCACGAAGAGTCGGACACGACTTAACAACTGAACAACAACAACAACAGAAAAAACAAGAACAAGGAAGTCTGGAGGTAAAATAATATGCCACTTTAGGAGATTGTTTTCCAGAACAATAGTTAATTGCAGGTGGATCTTCTGACTTACACTTAATGTTAAAAAATAAAATGAAAGGAGACCATACTTCCACAAATATCTTTTTATGATTTAAATTTCTGTTTTCTTATACTACAGGTTAATTTTTTGGGAGAGATCCAATTTCTGTACCTTTGACATCCCATCTTGCCATCTAAGATTTTCCATTGTCTTCTAAGAGGATGCAAACCAGTATTTGTGCTGTTTCAAGTGATTAATGTTTGGTACATTAAAGACTCACTATTAACAAAGAGGAGAGCCATCACATTACCAAATGTAATGTTCTGACCAGTTAAAGCAACTGTATCTAAGACTCCTTCTCAAGTTTTTTTTATAACTAAATGGATAAGGCATATGCAGAAATGAAACAAATGTCTCAAAATCTCTTCAACATTAGATGGAACAGATGTATTTAATGTAATTTGATGTTAAATGTCACCCACTAGTTTTAATTATGTTTCCTGCAAAGGAGATAAAGTAGTTTCTATTGACTGCTAATTTCAGGACTCTTTCTGCTGAGAACCAGATGGGAGAGATCACTGTTCAAATAGTTTTTAAACTTGAATATGTGCAAAATTGAGCAGCCACTAGCCATGTATACATTTCAAAAAGGAAACCCTTAGGGCCTCTTTTGGAGTTATATGACATTCTTCAAATTTAGTTAGCCTCTTATTTTGATATTAAATATGACATAAGTGATTATATTTGACACCAACTCAGAGACAGATCTTGGTTTGACTAAGATCTAATAATGAGAGCTCCCCCACCCCTCCACAAGTGGGTTATAATTTCTTGGCACTAATTATCCAAACTCTTTGACATTAAGATATTTGAAGAGGAGCTTCAGTCCTGAAAGCTTGTGATTTTTTTTTGCTGTAAACATATTGATACTGATACAGAAAAGAATCAATTTATTATTTATCCTGAATCCTAATTATTTAATTAAATGAAGTAAAAATATGCAGAATTTCAGGAATTATTGGGTTAAATGAAAATCAGAATATTTGCATACCACTTAATCCTATGTTCACTGTCATTAATAGAAATTTTATTGTAGTCAGATTTCAGGTAATTTTTGCTAGGGAAATTGCAAAAAAGGGAGGCAGAAGGATATCCCTGCCTAATGTCTTTCCACAAATCAACTGGTTTAGCACTCCTTACTATTGAGAATAGTATTCATGAAGCTTCATAGAGATATTCCAAGGTTTATATCATTTTTCCCAAAGCACATTCTTCAAGGTACTTTAAAAGATAACACCATTCCAGACTGTCAAATGCTCTGTATTCATCCAAGAACAGAAGCACTACAGGAATGCCTGCTGCATTACAAAAATGAAAAACAAACACTTTGAACCTATCATCTGCTGACTCAATATGGACCTTGACTGTTTAACTATTATGCAATTAGTAATAAAATAATTGATATTTCAAGCAAGAACTGATGTGAAAATCTTATGGTCCCTTTTCTAATAACACTATTAGACCATAATATTCCAGGAATTCCAGATTACCTCCAAGTTTAGGAACAACACTCACACTTACATCAATAGGCACTAGTTTCCCATAGTAATTTACATATTAAAATAGCCTAACTCTACATGTAAGGAAAAACACAGCCCTAGATAAATGCAGGAACAAGCCTTTTCCTCTCTAAATCCAGCATAAATCCACAAAGGGAAGGCATGGGACTCCTGGGAGCAACTTATTATACAACTTCTAAAGCTTGGTTCCCAACTTCCATCCTATTCAGAGTAATAATACTTTTAAAACAGTTGACTTGACAAAAAGGAATACACAGTAGTAGGACTAAGAAGTAAAGACAACAAAATAGAAACATGAGCGGATGTAAGACTAGAGATCTTTATGCAGACAAGATGGCCAATAGTTATTGTCTCATATCACTGGAAAAACAGCCACCAACATTGCCATGAGGTGGAAAAGCAAACATCACAAACACCATTTTCTTAAATACCATTTCTTCCTGAAGCTAGTATCCACTGAGGAAGGAAGCTCAACTATGAAACTTAGCAATATCAAGTAATAAGAGGTATAATGCTTCAAACAGCTTTTGTATTTTCTGTAGTATTGGCGAGCAACATTTTTTCTCCATGAACACAAGAAACAAAAAGCTTCATTTGTATAAGATTCCTGCCTTTCTTAATAAACCAGCATAAATTTCAATTATTTTTTACACATAATAC